TGACAACCTAGAAAAAGGAAAAAAGAGGTTCGCTTATCTGTTGCAGCAACTGTCACCGTACCGTGATCAAAGAACATAAAACACTGCCTTTAATCCAACATAAGTGAGCTAGAATTGCATATTCCCAGTCTATACAATCGTTTTCCCAGAAGTCACAGACATGGAAAAGAGAGATCTGTCACAATCCTCACTTTTTTAAAACTGCAGGTTGATTCTGCAAACCGTTTGCTAAATAAATTCTCATTACTGCAGGAGATCATGGCTTTAATTAGCATTAGTTAAATCAGGACTTCTTGAATTAGTCATGTTTGAGCTGGATCCTCTCATATATGATCTACAGACTCCTACTTAGATTAGGGCAAGATTAATGCAATATAGTACATTGACACGGCACAGTAAGAAACAGATTTTCTTCCCCTTCTGAACAATGTCGTCACACAGCCGTGTCCTCCCTACTTCGAGATTCCTCACTACCACCAGATTGGATCTCAAACCTGCTCATTCAGACTTTTTTAAACTGAGTCTGCATAGCAACTGTGCAACATGAGACAATTTTTCTGATTTTTCAACATAAACCAACTTTAGTGTGGGGGTACCAGATGAACATCAACAAGACTAGCTTTGGCCTATGTTGTAAAAATGCATTTTAGTTTAAAACCTTGCTTAGCTGTGTCTTATATCACTTTAAGTTGACATTTCATAGCTTGTTGAAAACAAAACACATCATGTTCCTCCTTCCAAGGACATCTGAATATAATTAGCTACAAAGTCCAAATGACATTAACATTAGCATGTTTTTATCAGAACAGAATGACTTTTATTCTTAGGTGGGATCCAAGTACTTCAACAATGTTCATTGACAAAGGCAATGAATGTTTCAGCATGACCTACTGGACATTTCTGGTGGACAAGAAAGGGATGTGACAGCAAGAAGAAATACAATAAAATATACATGCACACATCCACACCTCTCACTCTTCCTGTACAATAGACCTGTACTTCTTACTTTCAAGATGGTATCCTGCATATGTGTGTTACTTGCTTGGCAAAGTAATCGACTGAGAGATCCAGTACTTGGTACCTCTGAATATCAAACAACTTTATTTTGCATCTGGCATCAAGTCTTACATCAGCAAAACACTTCAGCCTACCCTACACATTGCCCCAACCAGCAGAAAGGTCCCACTGAAATAGGTGGTGGTATTACCAGTAAGTCTTACTGGATCAAGGCTTTGCTCTTAATTCTGTGCATATTACTGGAAAATTCCGGGAGTTTTTACTTTCAAAATTGTCACATTTAAATGCTCATTTTTCATTTTAAGTCTTATTTGAAGAGGAAAATATAAGCAAAACTAATTACAGCTACTCATGCCACAGAGGTACTCCAGCTTTGGTAGCATTGTACCATGTGATCTCTCCCAGGAAAGTGAGATTTTACAGGAGGGGACTAAAATACCCACTCGTTTGAGATGCTCATCCTAAAACACCTGAAAAGAGGTCAAAACTGATGAGGCAGCTATTAAAAGCAGCAAGTTAAGTATCTGCAAGATAAACAACACTTAGAGCGTTTAAGATTAGGTATTCCCCAAATTGAGGCACTTTTTATTTCCTCCTTTCCCAGATATTTCCACTGTCAAAAATATTGGCGATGACAGACACCCACACTGCATTGTAAGAATGGCAGAATTATCACAGAAGAGCAAAAGCTATGAAACAAACTTACTGAAATGAGGCCTTTTTAAAATGTTTTTATTCATAACAGTATTACATGGTGTGTTACAGAAATTAATGGAAAATTTCTAAAAATTTGTTGGTTTTTTCTGTTGTTGCTGAATGCATTATACATAAAGTTAAAAATAATGTGTCCGTATATGTTAACAAATGGTCATTATCTGAGGTAAAGTTAAAGTAGGTTTAGAAATGTACTGCAACAGTCATTTTATCTTTCTCATCTTTATTAAAAAAATATGTGTCAGAATGCAGAAATAAAAATGAATGAAAACCACGGAGTAAACATTTTTGCAAAGAAGGTGCCCAGTACGTTATTAGATGAAAGGTTTCATCAGACACTTGGATGACTACGATCTATCAAAATATCTTTTCATGACAGGTAAAGATCAAGAACCTATGGGGGATGGTAACAGGATGGCTGGTGGGATTCCCTGGTTTTTAAATTTAAAGTGATGAATTTAGTGCTAGTGAAGGATGAGGGATTAAACAATTGCACAAGCTGGGTATTTTAGTTATCTACAATACTGGTACAGTGCAGAGGTCTTCCAATCCTCTCAACTCAGCATCTGAAGCATGACAAGGATGATCTAATCGTATGACAAGACAATTCAGAATTTGTTTTTATTTAGACAAAGTTCCACGGTGATGGTCCAGCTGTCTTTCATGAGACACTAAAATCCCAGCCTCATTCCCTCGGCACCTATTCGTTGCAAGGACTACGTAAATGATCTGCTTCCTACAAATATGACATCAATGGATCCTCTGAGACATAAATCTCTTCTTTTTCTTTCAACGTTTTACCCCATAACTGAAAATGCACTGGCGATACTAAACCTCAAATGTCCATGACGAACCAAAATTGTCTTCGTGGTTCCATATGTAGGACAAAACCCAAAAGAGCCAGTGAGGAAGAAAGTAGCACCACTGTGCGAATTAGGAAAATATTCTTAAAGAAATGTCCTTCAGAAATGCTTTTACCTCTGCTTTTAATCCTGAAACACTCAATCCACCAACTTTTAATTCATCTTGTCCGGTTAGAAAACTTGATCTTTCTTCTGATGGGAAAGTAAGATTTGCTACAAAGCTGTTTGCACGCGACTAAGGAATAAGCATCAAATGACCGTGAATGGGGATAAAAGTTCTCTTCTCTGCAGGTTCATTAGGTCTAGTCACAGCTAATTTTTCATTCACATACATTCTGTAACGCACATTTCTCTAATTTCTCTAATTCAAAATAAAAGACTGGAATCATGTTGTGAGATCTGGTTGCACATATCAACAATCGCCACCCCAGTTATTCTGTCTTCTAAACCACTTTTAGCTTATAATAGAGATGAAAGAAAGTAACATATTTATAACTCCAGGCCTATTTTAATCATGACAAAAATGTAAATTCTAATGTGTCAATTTAAAAACAAAATCTGCACAATAACCCTAAAAACTGATTAATCATTTGATTCCTTTAAACTTTTTTCCTTTTTCTATTTTTTCTTTTTTCTTTTTTTTTTCTTTTTTTCTTCTTTTTTTTTTTTCTTTTTAGTGTTAAACCACTAAATTCAATATACTGTAACTGCATAGGAACATCAGGAAAACACATTTGACCTGTATAACAATTCTCTGTAGGGCAAAAATATATAGATTCTTTATGAAAATCATGTGCTAAACATATGAACCCAAACACTGCACTTTTGCTTCATAAATGTAAAAAAAGGAAGTTTTAAATTTTTTTGTTCTGTGTGTAAACAGTTTGATGACTTCTATGCAGAGGTTCTGGAATTGCAAAGGAATGTCAATGAAATGTGATTTCTTGTAAGTGGAGTATGTCCGTGTGAAAACTAGATCATAAAATCATGTGTTCCCATTAATTTCACTAGTCGCTGACAAGCTGACTGCTTTTGGCAAATGCACTTGAGCTTCAGCCCATTACCGTAAGCATGTGAAAAAACGTATGTGATGTGAGAACCACAAATTGGGTTTGCCACACCTCCCAAGCACTGCAACTTGCTACCTTCTCTACTGTGTAATGGCATTAGTAAAAGAATTCTCATAACATTTATATTTACAAAAAAACTGGCAATTTTCATTCAAACTCCTTAAAGCCATTTCCCCTTAAACATTTAAAGAGTTTAACAGTAAGATTTTTTTCAAGTTATAAAATAAAAATCCCATTTGTTTTTTCTGATGTACAAAAAGTGATAAAGATGAACAATTTGATCACAGAATCAGTTTGTTATTCCAAAATCCATGCTATCCTTGTCCCATTTGTAAAGTCCGCTTCATCCAAATTCCTAAACCAGAATCATACCAGTATTATTTGGCAAATGATTTTTTTTTCATCAAAAATGGCACACAGAGAAGAAAACACTTGTCTGCATAGCATTACAGCAGCAAGATACTGAAGAAATAAAAATATTCCTTTTCTGCACTTTGTTTAGAGTTTCCTAGGAAATACTGACTCTTTCGTCTTTCCTCAGTGGGACTCGATGTCCTTTCTCTACCCACAACATGAGTATTCAAACAGAAAAGCAGCATTTCTTCCTCATGATGCGCTAGAACTTAAAGGTCCATTTGGCAACATTTTCAGTCAGGATGGAAAAACAACCAAGTTTTATTCTGTGGTTTCAAGTTAGGAATCATTGCCGCAGGAGGCATTTTGCTGTTACATCTGTCACTCATACAAAACTACAGAATAAGAAATACAAAAAAAAAAAAAAAAAAAGACACTGCCAGTATTTTTTGTTGTTGTTGTTTAAATATGTCTACACAGGGAAAAAAAAAGTCAGGATCAGCCTGATGTAAATGATGATGAAAAACATGTCACCATGACATAAAAAGTGCCGACTTGTGCCCAAAAGGCTGTTGAATGATAATGCCACTGCTACATACAGACTCTGCTTTTTGCTCAAAAGAAAAAAGAATGTCTAATACTCAATGAATTTCAGATGCTCATTATTTATATGTGGCACACAGAAGATAACAAATGTTTAAAAGACCGAGGAGTAAGATTTCCTAGTCTGTATACCCATGACTTGTGGGGACGGGGCTGGACTTGTGGTATGATAAGCAGGGAGAGTTTTTATTTTGTGCTGCCTTAGGAATCTGCCATTGGTTGCCAAAAAAAATGTCAGGAACACTCGTAGAGCCAGTCCAGGAGGGCAATCATCTCTCCTTGTCAGACAAAATCAATTGGAAAAAAGCATGAAAGCCAAAGGCCTGCCAGGTTGTTGGGTTTCGTTTGAGTCTTGGAGCACCACAAGCCTGTAACAATGCTATTTCTTAGGTCTGTTGATCTGGGCGTAGAGAGGTTCTGCTTCCTGGGGATAACAAAAATAAAATAAGTGGAGATGCCTCCAGACAGTTTTTAGAACATTTTTAGACCATCTGCTTGAGAACAGCAATACCTCATGAGTCAAAACCCAAAGGAAGTGTTTGTTTTCTGTGCTGCCTTGAGTGATCACGGCAGCCCGGTTGAATTGTGAAGAAAATGTGACATTATTTCAGAAAATGAATGCTTACTATCAATTTCCTCTTCCAGTACTGGCGGTGCACCGATCCTCAGGAGGTATTGCTGGGCATAGACATATGAAGAAATGAAATGATATTTATATGACTAGATGTTTTGAAGTTTACAGGCCAGAAATGTAGCTGGCATAAAATGCTGTTACTCGCACCAGGCTGAGATCCCCCCCAGCAGCACAAGACCAGAACATAGCTGTGGGTTTTACACAACTCATGAAGAAAAACACTTGCAAGCAGAAACCGCTGCTAAAAGCTGAGCTAATGAAGCTGTGATGGGATTTAAAATAACAATGAGTTGCTTATGAAGAATGGCGAAAGCTCTGTGCAGTTTGATTAGAAGTCTGTATAACCATTAGTACAATCATTAAAGCTGGGAGGAAAGCATGTTGATTTGCTAACAGACACTTTCTTGGGAATTTTCTGGATGGAGGGAGGGGGGAAGCTGCCATGTTCTTCAGTGTTGCTTCATAGCTGACACCCTGTGCATTAATACTACGTTCATCTTGGTTGTAGCGGGAAGCAAACCATCCATGGACCCTGAAATTCATTCTACTTCATCTCCAGAAACTAATCTATTAAACTAAGAATGACATCTAAAAAAAGAACGAGACAGGCAGAAAGGCTAATTAATGCCATACTGCATTAACTCTCCACAGCTTGATACATATTCAAATACCATGCCACGACGTTGAATTTAACCAAGTTAGAATCAACTCATGTTGCAGCAGCATCAGCAGAAGCTGACTTTGAGCAAAAAAGCTCTGAAGGCTGGCAAATCACAGGGCACTGTGGAGCACAGAAATGTCTGGCAGGGTATGGCATAGGATTTTAATGACTGCTTATAAAAATGATGCTGCTGATGAGAAAAAAAAGGCCAAAAGTGGATCCACAGGGCTCCTTTCACTCAGTGTTGATGGGTGCCTGGCCAGTGCTCCAGGCTGTGCCCCATCCCAGTGCCCTGTCCTGCCTCACTGTGCATCTCATGTTGAATGAGGGGCAACACAACAAAGCTCCCTCCAAAATATGACCTCCTTCCGACATGCCAAGGAAATTTGTCTCTTATTCCTTGAAATGACTACATTTCTGGAGCCTGCAAAGACTGTGCTTCCTCACTTCCCATCTACATGAAGCCCTGAGTACACTATGAGCATTATGGGAGGATGAGAGAAATCCTTTGGAATGATTAAATAAAGGCTGCTGAAATTATCCCCAGCAAGAAGCAAATATATTTTGTGACCTTGAAAAATCAAAGGTAATCAGAAGAGATGACTGAGAGTAAATAACTGCATTTCACATACTGTGTGCTAAGTCCACCTATGCCAATTTTCATGTACTGCAGACACGAAGCTGGCAGAATGATCTATCACAGCTAGTTCAGAGAAAATCTGTACTAATTAATGTGGGAACCTGACACACACCAGCCCATTCTTCAGGCATTTGCTGAACCTGAGGTGATTGCAAAGGGAAGTGAAAAGGAAGGAGGAGAAGAAAAGAGGAGGGAGGGAGAGCATCCCTTTGGAACAAAAGATGTCAGTTTTTCAAATGCCTTCAGGGGAAAAAAAAAGCTTTTCAAAATGTCAAGTGTGCTTGTTAGAGCTCTCCTCAAATATCTTTTAGATATGCAGATGCATTTAAGTAACAGGTGTCCTAAGGTGTCACTGAACTTGACACCATTGGAAGAGGAGGAGGAGTTCATCATTGGTCACCAGCGCTTTCAACAATGCATGAGGCAGCCTTTAGAATTAGACATTTCTTTCATCTGTCTCCAATATTTATCTGAGCACACACTTCATGTGGCAAAGGCCTGCATTTCTCACTGATTTGAGTAATTTTTCTTCTAGTAGACCAGATCATTTTGACTGAAAAATGTGTTCTTATGTCTTCCTTTTAGTTAATTTCCCCCTTCAGAAGCCTAAATGAGAAATTAATTGCAGCCAAATTTTTTTGTCAATGACTGAGATTTGTTTTCTAGTATTTTGAGGTAATTCAAGCAGCACATCTTGCCTGTAGCCCAACACTGCAAATGGTATCTGTACAGTATTGATAATGATACTCAAGAGAGAAAAAGAGAGCAGAAAGGGACAGAAAAGAGGCAAAAGGAGAGTCAAGTGCTGTTGCCTCCACGGATAGCTTCTCTCACAATGCCAGACAGGGGGGCTTCACAAGCATTATTTTGGAGGGTCCTGGAAGCAGAAATAACCCCCCTTTCTTTTTACGTATGCCACTCAAAAGTCACTAAACTTCATTAGGGAACGTCATTAAAAGGCAGGCGAGTCTAACTCTTCTCATAGCATCAGAATCATCTTGCCAATGTTTTCTGCTTTCTACTCCTACCACTGCTTTAGGAACAGATCTGCAGGGAAGGAAATGAAAGACCGTGTCTTTATTAGGAAAGAAAAAAAAAAAGAGGAACAAATAAAATAGCATACAAAGCTTCCAATTCACATAAACACCTTGAATCTTTAAGGGTTTTCCTTTCTATAGGATTGGCCCAGAAGCACTTCTGATGTGCTTTCATCAACCCACAGGGAGAAACCAAGACAACAACTGGCAGCACCTTTTTTTGCTGCTAAATCCTACTTCAAGGCTTCAATCAACTTTGGGGATATGCAATTTCTGGCAGATGTTTGAAAAGTAAATGTTTTCCTTTATGCTGGGAAGCTGCTATCAAATTAGTGTTTAGCTATATTCTCACATACTAATGTGGCTCTTTACACTGAACAGTAGCTTTTAAATAACGAGATATTGCAGGACGAGGATATGAATTCACAGGTCAGGTATCTGACCAAAGTGACAGGTTGCAGTAAGAGACCAGAAATGTCTAAATATACATACCTCAACTTAGACAGCTAAATATCTAGGAAGCTACAAGGATGTTGCGTAAATGTTATGAACTCTCTCGGAATTAACTGCAAAAATTGCCAAAGAGAAAATTTTCCCTATGTACGCTACATTTACATATTCCAGAGATACTTCATGCTTAAAATCAGCTTATTCTTCCCATTTTAAGGAACATTTTGCATAATAAACAAGACTGTAGCAAACAGTATTTCTGGTATAGTACACTACTGCATGAGGTAACAAGGTTGCTAATGGTTTTGAATAACATTATGTAAATACTAGAAGTAAGTTTGCATCCCATTAAAAGATATTAACATCTGCTCCCCAGCAGAACTATCACTGGAGAACATCTCTTGAAAGATTCAGCATTTGCTTGGGTTTGTGTAGGTGAACTCACTCACAAAACATAACACAGGGCTTGGTTAGGAAGAAACTATTTTTACATTGGCAGTCCTTTCATCATTGCGAGGCACCCTGCTACGTGCAAAGCTTCAGGCAAGATGTACTGAATTGTAGAGGTGAGGCCCGCATAGATTTCTTTGCCCTTTACAATAGATTCTCAGCACCGGTTTTACTCCTGGCTGACTGATCAGAAAGGGCTGGCTCAAATGATAGAGTTTCATGAAATAAGTGTGCTGGAATGCCAGCTAAAATGAGAATCTAGTGCTGGGGATGCAAGTGAAGGGAATGGGAGTGCAATGCGTCTTCTCTTACTGCATGCTGACTCAATGAAATAGGACATAGTAAACTTGGCAAGCGGGATTCAAATTAAATATCTTTGGTGATAAGACAAGTAATTTCTTTTGGCCTCTTAACAGCCAGTGGCTTATCTTTGATTATTTTTATTACAGTTAGCCTCTATTAGCAGCATAAATACAACAACCTTCTAGTTTGGGGTTATGACTGGAGAGCGCCTCTACTCTTACTATAAACCTGCCTAGGAATATTTCCTAGTCTCAAATATCTAGTTTAATTATTAGCATTTTAAAAGTCTCTGTCCTTTTAGGATGAAGATGGATGCTATACATCCATAAAATGAAAAAGCAATGAGAACTACTCGGAAGGATGGACCCTGCTCCATCTTGGTCCAGGCATAATAATGAACTGCAGCTAAGAAACACACCTATTATTTCTGGGCCCCTTTCCTAACAAAACAGTAGCCACACAATTATACTTTCTGTCTGCGTATCTGTCAATTCGCCTTTGTAACTTTTGAACCCAATGGCCAATTTGAAGCAAATTGTTCAGAAGTGTTAAAGATACTAAATTATTGCAAAGTGCCTTTTTCAAATCAGTTGTTGTGCAGAAGACGGGGAACTTTTAAATGACCTCATTACCGAGAAAGCTAGGAGAGCTCATCCCCTAATTGAATTGCTGGATTGACAATCAGCAGGTACACGGCTATGCAAGCTACATAGTATGCTGTCTCTTGTTTAGCGGAAGAAGTTGAGGAAATGGAAGGGTACCTGGCTACTTCAAGTGGAGACATTGGAGGAGGTGAGAAACCTGTGTATGAGCTGGTTGTATTAAGAAGGGGATTTTAGCGGTGGAGAGGAAGGCAAATTTGTAGGATGCCTCTGTTCACAGAGCAGCCTGGATTTCTCTGGTCTTGTCCCTTCAGATTCTCTGGAAATATGATGATGAACAAAGGAGCATGGGGCCTGAAATGACAATTTTAGGATTACTCTGGAATGAAGCAGTACTTCCCAAACTGTTATGTCTTTCCAAATGCACAACCCTATCTACTACTTCTCTCTCAGGTTTACAACTGCTCAGTGCTGTGTCTTGAGTTTGAGAATGATAGCTCTAGAGCCTACAGTAAGAATAGGTCATCTATAATCATTATGAATTTCTCTTTGGACTCTATTCAGTTCCTATTGAGCCAGATGAATGATGGTAACGGAACCTGCAAATACAGCCTTTGATATTTTGAGCCCATTCAGATTCTTTGTGCAACAGAAAATGGGCAGAAAGGAAGAGGAGGTTGTAGAATCAGCTTAATATGCCCTCCTGAGGCTCACCAAGCTCCCAGATAAGCCAATGCTTTGTCCCTAAGTTGCTGTTTTCTTTCAACTTTCAAATAACAGCCCAAATAAAGAGTTACAGTAGTCCATCCTGGAGCTGAGACTATTACGAGCATTTATCACTAAGAATGGCACTCGCTCCAAGATGGATGATGGCAGTGGGCCACCAAAGTACCACCAAAAGCTGATAGACATTCTAATGAACTGTTGCTCTCCTGACAGTGCTGATAGCATCATGAAGGGTGTGACATATTTTGAGGGCTTGTAATTGTCTGCACACATTTCACAGAACTAAACAACTTTTTGAGGAAGATATGCTCTAGCCACAAATGTTTTGAAGGTTTCCTGAGAATCTCTCGTGAAAAATTGCCAGCACAAGTCTTGAACTGGGCAGCCTATCAATACAGCTGTGTTTGTTCCAGCATTTAAAATGGCTTTTTTTTGCAATAATTGTGGTATCAAATATCCCCTTACTCTCTTTAAGAAGTTTCACCCTGTTTCTAATTTGCCTTCAAGAACCAGTTTGTGTGGTCCATATGGAGTTAGAACACATTTGTAACTTCCAATCCCAGTATTCAGTCTGAATTTATTCTTTCCACAATCAGGACATTCTGTTAGGAGATGCCAGCCAACATAACCACAGGTATCCAAAGAAGCTTGACATCAGAGAGTCAAAGTTTGCTCCTCTCCTTCCCTTTTCTCATCATGCTTGAAGGCTCCCCTTTCTATAGCCTTTTCTAAGCTTTCAGTTGTATAGCTTCAGGGCTTCCTAGTGTCACAGCATGCTAGACCCATTGCTGAGGCTGAAACACCCCCTAGAACAGAAGTATCTGCACCGGCAGGGTCTGCACCTCACACACTATAATTTAGGCTGACTGGGTGCACTGGTGTGAAGAGGATGACCAGGTGAAACCCCCCTCTGTTCAAACTTCTTGCCTAAATCCAAAATGTCAATAATAAGAAATGTTTAACATATTTGGTAGAATCATAGCTAAATACAGTTCTTCCCCTCTGTGTCTTTTCACCATAGTTATCCTACACACAATCTCTAAAGACAGCAGTAGTGCTTAAACATAAGTCAGCTGAAGAGGGCAGTCATCTTATTCAGTGTTCTCCTCACCCCTTCTGGAAAATCACTATCCACCCTCAATGCCGCTCATGAACAAAGTGAAAAGAAGCAAATACAAATCTTGCTATGAACAGCTCTGCAAATAGTTGATTTTGTTTCACCTGTGGAAGTTAGGCCTGTCTGCTTCTCACCTCCAACCATCAAGGGACAAAAATGTAACATATCCATAAAACGTCACATTTACCTATTAAGAACCCATAGCTATTTGTAGAAGAGTGACTTATAGGAACAGCTACTGGTGGGATGAAGACTTTGAGAGCTTAAGTTGAAGATCACAAAAGGAAGAGAGGAAAAAGCAAAGAAACGGAGATAGTAACTGAAAGATGCTGAATTATTTCTATATGAGAATATGGAGTATCAGAAGGAATCAAGAAACCGGATTACTTAAGGTACCTTGAAAGATCAGGATACAATATACTAGGCAGGTGAGCATTCTGAACACATCAAGAGAAGGCAAATAAAGATATTATATGGGCACAGCTGATTTCATAGCGATGCTGGGAACAGATATATTTGAAATTTCTGAACACAATACTACGTCATGCTCCTGAGAGGTCCATTCATCTGAGTTGTATACTGTGCTGTTCTTGGTGTGAAGAACCATGTTCTAAAGAGCGAAGTAATCTCCCATCTAACACACAAAAGTGGCTTTTAATGCATACTGTGATTCTTTTGTACTACATGTTTCTCCCCATTAAGTTTCTCTCCAAATGTGGAGCTCAATACACAACACAGTAGTAAGTCCTCAATTGATAATTTTCCATGGAGATTAGACTTTCCAGAGCTCTGACGATACTAGGCTTTGGAATTAGATGGGCTGGTTTTAGCAAGTGGATTTACTATGGACTGCTGCTGAATGGCACTGCACAGAGGCACAATGATATTAGTGTAACTTCACTGGATAGAGGCTTTCTTTTTGTTCAACTTCCTGTTCCTGCTTACAGCTTTTAGGAATTACTATAATACGATAATCAGTAACATTATTTAACATTTCCCAGAACATATTTCTGAGAATTATACATATTTTATGCAAGACTCTACAAGGATTAACAAAAAATATAGACCAAACATATAGAATCACTGGTAATATACTGGTCTTGTAGCTCCCAGACACCCTTGACAGGTAAAAGAATGTATTTTACTATGCATTATATAAAAAACAGAACAAAAGGAGTCCCTCACTTGACTGACTTACTCCAGAACTCCCAGTTAGTAAACATGAGTGATGCTAGTTTAGAAATGATGTTAACTATCTTTGTGACAGTCAGAAAATTAGAAAGAGAGTTTATTATTATTCTCCCTGTGATGAATTTCAGAATTACCCTGACTAGGATAGACTGCAATAAACAAATGTATATGGGTTTGCAGAGCGTGGGACTCTCTCTCTGTAAAATTCTGTTTCTTGATCTAGGAAAGAACTTTTGAAATGGTCTGAAGCTGGGATAGCCAGCTATGTCAGTGCTGGCTGAGGTCAGGCAAAGGCAAAGCCAAATTACTATGTGGCACGATCCAACGCAGAAGCAGTTCTCACTGGAATACAATAACCAACAGATGCTCTTGCTAGAGCAGCTCATGCCAGCTTGACTCTATCCTTACACTGTCATTTTTAGACTCAATGAGACACAAAGCTTAACACTACTGTTGCTTTAGCCCCCAAGAGCGGAGCGTTATGTTGGTGAAGGGGGAGATGCTGCCTTCTTTTTTTTAAGCACATTTAATGTACAAAGTAAACGGACTCCTAACAAAACTTAATTTTGAGTTGAAAACAAATTACTTTGGCTCAAGGTGGATAAGTCACTGGTAAACACAGTGCAATTTCTGTACAAACCCAAAAAGGGTTCTACCATTGTTATGGATTTGCTCTAGGAGCTCTGTGCTGAAGCACAGAAGCAGTATGAGATCACTTAGTTGGGTAATACAAAACATGAACGGCAGACAGGGAGAAGATAATGAAACATATCCTTCAAATAGTAACACTAGAGAGTATTTGGGTGAATAACAATGCTCAGCACTCACAGAACTTCGTAGCTTTACTGTCTTTTTGGTAAAACATATATACTGTATTGAAACAAATCACAGAACATTCACTGGCAGCCACATTTTCTAACATGTTCTGTAACACAAAAGGATGAAAAGATCATCTTTCCCGTCTGTCTGGATTTAAATGATGCATAATTTTTAAAACATCAGTATGCCAATGGTAATACAAATGATCATAATTTTCAGATGTTTTTAATTTGCAGTTGGAGATAAAAATACACAAACCCATTTCAATATTTTTTACATGCAGATAATAAATGTGCTTCTACTGATTATCACATTGATTTAGGGTAGAGGTATTCACGTATCATTACATAATTTTACTTAATGTTTGTTATGTCTATGGGTAAGATGTCTTATTCCATTTAATATATTACATCTGACTAAAGGCCAGAGTGGATTTGATAACAAAAAAATGTTCTGCCTAATACACTGTTAGTAACGGCTCAGTTTCCCTATTTCCCTTTAGAATTTGAACACGAAAATAAGTCTACATTTCTTTAAAGCATGCAGGCAGCCGAAACACACATATTTGCATAAGTTGCAACACTTAGTGAATGGCAAAAGCCATGCAAACCACTGAGCATGAGGAATATACTGTGGATAATGGAGAGGAAAAACAGAAGAGATGAAAAGGAAAAACAAACCATGCATCCATGAAAGCAATGGTAGGCACTGGTGAAGGAATAAGTGAGCACCTCAAGGTGTAGAGAAAAAAAGGACAGATACCTACCCCAACCTGCGCTATCTAGCTACCGACCTGTGGACTTATAGTATCACCAGTTGGCTCACCAAATGGATCACTGTTGGATGAGGCCTGAGACCCATCAGGCTAGAATACAAGAACATAACACCTTTTTTTCTCAACAATAAGAAAGTGAAAAGTCAACATGAGGTTATTTTCATGCTGTGGGCATAACAAGTACATCCTATCTCATGAAAACCAGAAAGTGAGACCTCACCACTGGTATGTTCTCAAAAGCCATAATGGTTTCCTATAGCTGATGCAGGCAGGGAAGGACCACACCAGTACCTGCTGGAGCCCATGCAGGAGCTGCCACAGACTTCAGAAGGTACTGGATGAGACAAACCAGAACTGAAAAAGGCCCGGAAAGCCAGTGAATACATGTGAACCAGGAAGAGTCCAAGCTTGCATTATTTTGTACCTTTGGGTCCTTTTTTTGTAGAGACTCCCTCTTGCCTTTGGCTCCTTAGGCTCTTATCTGCCTAAGATACCTTGTGATTTAAAGTCATTGTTGGATAACATTTCTTACTTTGGTCCACTGAGTCTAAGGCAAAGAAATCACATACTGAGGGCCAGAACATTGAGGAATGTAACTAGGCGAGCAACTGGGATGCAAGAATGTGCAAGACAACATCAACCATCATCTTTTAACACACAAACTCTCACATCTTTTTCTGCAGCCTCAGCATGTATGTTGTTTTACCTCAGACTCCCTTACCATCAACAAGTGAATGCTGGTATGCTAAAAAGGACATTAGATACAACTGTCGTATGTAACCTTACATATGAACTCTGAGTTTCGTTTGTTGTATGCAATGTTAGTGCATATCAACATAGATGTCATGCTTTTAGCTATCAAAACTGAACCAGCAAGTAAATGCTGTCTGCAGCTCCCCCTTAAATACCACCCAGCCCTATTAGAATAGTTATTTCTGACACTACCAAACAACATTTAATTAACTTCTGTCTTTTCTAGCTAAAACGAGCAAATCAGTATTTAAAAACCTTACTGCTACTCACAGCCTCTTGCTCCTCACTTTTGCTTGGGCTTTCAAACCCCTCTTCAAAGAGGTCATCTGCAGCGGGATCACTGGTATGAGATGCTGATGATTTTGATGGAGAACTCTGTCTGGGTGCAGGGGTTGGAGCTAAACAAAGATTAAGGTAACAGCAACAGAACATATATGTGTTAATTTGTTCAGAAAGACACAGCAGCACAACATTTCCTCATGCTTTAGAGCCCTCAACTTTTATTACCCCTGAAAATTATTTTCTGACAAGGAGCTGTAAAAGGTAAATTTGAACACAGAAGTCATTATCAATTCCATATATTTGATTTCATTCAGCCATTTCCAAATTAAGTTTGGCTGCATCTGGCATATACCTTTAGGAACCAGGGAGATGTCACTACATTACATTAAGAATGCATAAGTCACCTGCCCTACAGCAGGTAAGTTAAACAGAAGGTCTCTGGCTGGCCCCTGGTAAATCTGTGTCTCATGAATTCCTCTTTTCAGCAATCTGCAAAATCCCCTACCTCAATGCTATGAACACGATAAGCTTATTTCACAGCTCTTCAATGAATTTCCTCACATGTCCAGTGCATCAAGCTATTAAAATGAATACCCATCCCCTAATTTCTGCAAAGTATAGCTTGAATGGGACATAAGTGAAACCATTTGTAAGGTTGAATGTCATGGGCATTTTCCAACCAGCTTGCATGTCCCTAACACAGAACATATATTACTTTCTTCTTAGAAATTAAATTTCAGACTGCAGCTATCAGGGCTGTTGATTGCAATGGTCTCTGAAATTCCTCTCTGATACTTTTTTTTATGGCTGGAACACATTTAATAAGATAGACCATGCATGAAGGTTCTCGGTCCATATCTGTGTTGCAATTTACTGTATTAAAAAAAAAAAGAAATGCTTTGAGGAGCAGTCACGTCTGAGGAAAGGTACAGCTGAAAGCATATAAATACTCACGTGAATTTGTAGATGGTGTCGTGGAAGTCACAGGAGTCAAATTTAACTGAGAGATGTCAAAGTCATCACAATCATCTGCTTCCTGTGCCATCCCAACTTTGTTAAAGTAACTTGAGAAGGCCTCTGAGGTACAACTGAGGGAAGGCTGATCTGGTTTTCTTGATGGCACTGGTGGAGGCTGAGCCATCTGGAAATCTTTAAACATTTCTTTTCCCATTTTCTGTCTGGGCCTGTCTGTCTGTGGACTTGATCTGGTGGAATCACTTGTGGGTGGAACAGTAGCTATAGGAGCAATGGTACCTTGAAACATGGCTGCTTGTAAAGGCAAAACAGTTTGTGTTGGCATGAAGGCAGTTGGTTGGAACTGACCAGCTACAGATGGCCACGGTTGCTGAGTAGGAGGAAAAATACCGGGTTGGCCCCACGCAATCGGCTGTCCTCCCTGCATCACCTGAGCAACTGGAGGCTGAGCACCCATGGCCAACTGCTGTTGAACAAGTGGTTGCTGTCCCCAGAATGAGGGCAGAACAGCTCCCATGGCAACATAACCTTCAAAGAATAAAGAGCAGGGGGAAAAAAAAAAAAGATGAAATATTTTAACACTACTGTAAAGAGCATGCAGAAAAAGCTACACAATAAATCAGAAACATGCAGGCTACATTAGTGTTCCCAGAGCTTCAGCACACTTGGCCGAATTCACAACACTGAACAAATACTTGTATACAAAACCACAAATTGGTGGGTATTGGCAATAGTCCTTCCCCTCATCTTTACAAAAAAAGTTCGTCTTTTTCTTAGTGAGTACCGCCTTGGGTCTGTGAAGACCTGCGTGCATGGACCTCATTGCAATGCCCGGCCATCTGGCAGCTCCCTTCCCCAGGGCTCTGCCAAAGCACGGTTTGGTCAAACCACTTACTAGAACCACAGAAGCTCCCAAAACTTTCCCTAAACTCACCCCCTTGTTGTGCTAACCCTGCTCCTCACCACTGAGCTCTGTGCAGGTTCTTCTTGCTACCCTGACTCCCCCCATCCTCTGCCTTTCACCTCTGCCTGTCCCATTCCTCTGGAGGCAGGGATCTCAGAGACTGAACGTGATGCACTGGGTCAGGCTGGGATGGAGCTCATCTTTTCAGAGCAGCCCATAGGCTGCTAAAAAATAAGCTTCCAGAGCAAGCAGAGGGAATGAAGAGGATGCCCAGAACTCTCTCCCCTCTGCGTAGCTTTGCTGCAGTCCCTCATAATTTTTGTTTTTATTCGTTGTTGGGGAGAGCAATTCAAACACCAGCCAACTGCTGCCAATGGCAGAGCAACAAAACTGGTTCTAAGTTACAGGGAAGCACCTTCATATATGTTTGGTAACAGCTCAAGGGCCCTCTAATGACAGTGCAACCTTCTTGCAAGAGAAAGACTGCGCCACCTCTTCTGAAACAGTCACAGTTCAAACCGTTGGGACTCCAAAGAGCAAAGAAGTGTCTCAAATTGTGTAATAAAAAGACAGAGCCTAGATGAATTCAGATTAAAAAAATCTCCACATTTGGTTATTCCCCCTTTACTTGAGAACATCAAAAAGGTCCTGAGCTTCTCCTGTACTACATACCTAATAATAACAAACTGCTTCGGGTATTATGCTAGCATGAAACCTCTCTAGTTCAGGGGGGGTGGGAAATTAAAGATTAAAACTAAAATTATAATTGCTTCCTGTCAGACCTGAACCCTCTTTTCAAGCTACCAAGAGTTTGGCTGTGTAGGAATTATATGATCAGGTGCTTAGCTATCTACAATGAAAAAAAAAAATCAGAAACTAAAACTACTGTAAAAAATGTTACAAATTAAACCACATAATTATGTTTCACTGATAGAAGTATTATGCTTTACAGATATGCTGTTTCACATTTAAACTAATGACTTACGTTACTAAGACTTTACAATATGCAACCTCTCTTTTACTTTTAATACTGTTGTAGCTTTAAAACTCAAGTGTTTTTCTGAGTCCTCCTGTAGTTTTTTCCCCTTTGCTTTATTTCCAGGCTGTTCAGCAATGCTAAATGTAAATGTGGTGACAAAATCATAAAGGTAAAAGCCCAAAATAAAAATAAAATAGAAGCAGAACTTTGAAAGACTAAATTAACAAGTGATGAAAGACCAGTAAGTCATATATATATATATCTATATATATATCTATTTCAATAGATGGCTCTGATGGATTCTCCAGATGCCTTTTTATCTTGCCCCCACTGTAACCTCATCCAAGCAGTGAGGGTTTTCAGCTGACATTATCCCCAAACACTTCACCATCAGTGTAACCTTTCTGAGATGCAGTGGCTAATCTGATGCTGCAACGCAGCCCATCAGAGAAGGCGTTAACCAATTAGAAAGTCACTGTTCAATGATTCAAGGCACTCCTCCTCCTTTTTTTTTTTCCGTAAGTGGAGCTGAGAGCGCTGCTCTTGCAGTGCTCCGAGTATCCCAGGGAGAGATCAGCAGGCAAAACCACAAGCCTTGTGTGTCTGCAGAATGCTACACAGCTTTTGAATTTTGAGCACTTTGAGGAACACAGAAAAGTCTAAGGATTTGACTAAGTGGAATACCTTTGAAATGCAATCAAATTCTCCATGTCTCATTCTCTATTTACTGGGGACAGCACAGGATATCACTGCTACTGCAAAGAAAGCAAAGCTAAACTAAATGCTTTTTTCTCTCTTGCTACTGTACCTAGAAGGTAGGATATCCAGATGGCTCCATAACATCCTCATAAGGAAGCTCACGAAGTATGGGTTGGATGAGTGGACAGTGAGGTGGATTCGGAACTGGCTGAATGACAGGGCCCAGAGAGTTCTGATCGGCGGGGCAGAGTCCAGTTGGAGGCCGGTAGCTAGCGGAGTTCCCCAGGGCTCGGTACTCGGCCCGGTCTTGTTCAACTTGTTCATCAATGACCTGGACGAGGGGATAGAGTGTGTCACTGATGACACGGCTGCCCAGGGAGGTTGTGGAGTCTCCTTCTCTGGAGATATTCAAAGCCCGCCTGGATGAAGTCCTGTGTAGCATGCTCTAGGTGAGCCTGCTTTAGCAGGGGGGTTGGACTAGATGATCTCCTGAGGTCCCTTCCAACCCTTACGATTCTGTGATTCTGTGATTCTGTGATTCTCTCTTGCTACTGTACCTAGAAGGTAGGATATCCAGATGGCTGAACTATGGTTGAACTCCCAGTGACTTTTTTGCATTTTGTTTTAAAAAATATGGGCAAATTCAAAATAATGCACTCCCTGCTTGTTCAAGACTTGGTTTGCCGTGCCCTGCAGCACTGTCCTCAAAACCCTTCCCCACTTCCACTGTACTAAATTAACGCCCTGAATACTGAAATGCAAACCAGAGCTGAGAACGGATCACCAAATTTGAGTCAGGCTCGCATTTCCCCCGATTTCTTACCTGAGGGTACGGCAGCAGTGCTGAAAGGTACAGAACCAAACATGTCTGTACTAGCAGGAAGTGACTGGGATGAAGATGGGATAAAGGCATCACCTGGAGTAGCAGGAGTCTGCAAGAAAACAGGAATAAAATACAATGATGACATATCAGCTGCAGCTTCTGCAGCATGTACTTTGCTGTTGCATCATCCGTAAGTCAAAAAATACAGGTTTGGAGGGAAGAAAGAGAAAGGAAAGAAGAATGGGAAGATGTAGAAGGAAAGAAGCAATAGAAATAACAGTATTCGAATGTGCTGGAGACAGGAGAAAAAGAAAGAAAATGAAAGACTTTGTACCAGAAGAAAAAATAAAAATAAAATTTGCCTGGAATACATCACATGCAAAATATTGACATAATTTCTTTCTCCAGAACATACAGACTTGTGATTCTAGGTGTTAGGTGACAACCAGTAGAGGCAGAAGACCAAGGCGTTAATGTAAGAAACACTAAAGGCAAATGAAGTATCTGCAGGATTTATGGAAAAGTGAATACATATTGCTTCCAATTAACCAGCAAGACCAGACCATAGGACTACATTATAGGAGGAATCCAATCTAACTGAGCAAGGTAAGCATGAAGAGACAGGATTTGGAACATCTTGTCCCAGACATACTCCAGAATACCTTGGAGATGACTTCACAGCACCTCAATTTTCTCAGTATATTCAGACTCCCCTACAGCTTAATGAAAAGTTCAAAAATTTTATAGGAAAATGACTGTTTTTTTCATTTTATGATGTGGAAAAGCGTGTTGAGAAAATTTTATTTGCCCTCAAAACACAGTCAGCCCTCTCTCTCTGTACTGGTTTGTCTTCCTTTAACGGCAGTGCTGAGATATATGCTTGGTGGAACCAGAGACATGATTATACAAAGCTGTAACTGCATCTTCCTGCAGCGCAGTGGAGAGACAGAGTGCGGTGAAGCATGCACCTCTGATAAACACCAGGGAAGGAGATCTGCAGCTCAGGTTGTATCTTAGGTGACACCTAGCCTTATATCAGAAAAATAAAAATTGAAGATATTTTTCCACATCATCATGAAGCAGTGACTCCACATTTAATTTGCTTCGCTTTTATTTTCTCGCAACACAAAACCACTTTGAAATCCTACCTACTGGAATGGCTGATGACCTGAATTGTAGATGTGCTCAATAAATGTGCTGAAAATAGCATGTAGAAAAATGTACAGTTCAGTTTCCCTGGATACTCACTGGGGGGGAGGTTACATCAGGAGGAGTGGACATGTCCCCAAAAAGCTCTAGTTGGGTAACAGCCTGTAAAGACAGAAAAAAAATCCATTTATCTTTCAAGAAGAAACTGTGAGTTAACTAGTTAAAAACTTGTAACAGCTATAAATCCCCCAAAAGCCAGGTAGGCTTCAAATGTCAAGACCCATATGGAAGAAGCACATGGGTTCAAGCTGTGGGATTTTGATATTGCTGATGGACACAAACAGCCAGCAGCTAACCCAAACAGCCAGAAGCTAACCCTATAAAATGATTCTGTAAAGAACTCTCCACCATAAAAAATGAATAAAGCATGAAAAAACTACCCAGAATGGGACCAGATGCATTACTGCTCTGCCCTTAACATCACTGAGCACCAAGCATGATTTATGGCCCGCCCTTTTCCCTGACTCCTTTTCTAAACCCCCATTTCAAGGTCTTAAAAACACAGCAGCAGACTGTGGAAGTGACAGAAGGATATGGAAGGGAAGGGCTTTTAAAGTTCTGCCTGATTTCCCCTTGCCCATGGGACAGGTGTGACCTGGATAAGTGGACTTGAAGGAGGTTGTACAACTGGCTTATTTTAAGTTTGTAGCTCTACATTTAACTCACGCTAGAAATGTTTTCTCAGGGCATCCTTCAGTTTGATCTCAAAATAGGTCACCCATACAGGTCTCATTCAACTGGACCAGAAAAGAAAAAGCACTTTCATAATAAGGAGCACCTTGAGTGGCTGCATAATCAAAGCTCCTTCACATGTTCTGGAGCAAAATGACTCTCTTCCACCCACCTGCATCTGCAAATCAGTTAATCTGGAGTCTAGGGATGGTAAAGCACAGATCCCTTATAGCTCTGCAGGAAACTGAAAACTCATCTACCATCCTTATAAGGGTGGCTATTCTGGAAAGCTGTGATGGGAACTCAAGAACTACTCCTTCTCCACTACCTTTCTTTCTGCTTAGTGATTTTCCTTCTACCCTGTATCATAATCACACCCACGCATGTGGCAAGCCACAATTCTCATTATGAATGAGTTTAATGAAAATCTTAGTTCAGTTCATTGAACCTCCTCCCCAGCTTAGGCACACAAACATTGCAGCCTCCTATCACATAAATAGGCTTGAAATTCAGTTGAGTCTTGATGTGCAAATGTAGCCAACACTCAGCGCTTTGGACATTAACCACACTGCCTGGTCAGTCTTTACAACCTACCAAAGGAGCAAGATCGCCCTAAGAATTTTTCCTGTCCTCAACCTTCTATTATAAAGGATCTTTTAAGAAATGAGACTATCATTCAAAATATAATAATTTCAAAGGTTTATACCTTTTTGCAATCCAATCTCTGTTCCCATACACAAAAGCAACGCTACAATCACTTAGACCTGGAATTTGTCTAGCAGTTTGGATGATTCTCAGCTTTGTCTAATGATGCACCTAGGGATGAATTATTTCACATTTCCTCACATCATGTCTTACATTAAATAGATCACATTGCTTTAGTGCTATGCCAATATATTTTCTTCTTATGGGCTTACATATCCCTCTAAGTATCTGTATGGAAATGGAAGAGGGAAAAAAGAAGAAAATCCACATTTCTTTAGGTTCACCGACTCTAGTGTACATTACTAAAATAATGCTAGAAGTAGCTTCTGGAAAAAAAAAACAACCCATGAGTCACTTCTGCAGTGTGTGCAAACACACTAGGCAAGTATTGTTAAAAAGTCCAGAAAAGTTGGAATAATGACAACGTCAGCACTTGTTTGGAAATCACTTCAAGCCTCCTGCAGGCACTACTGACTCAAGAGATGCCAGGGGACACCAAATTACAGAAAGATGCTTTCTTCTCCCCAAATTGCTTGTTCAGCGCCACCCAAAATCTGCCCTTTTCCTGCATGACTGGTGAGTTTTTCACTGTTTTCTCCTCTCTGGCTTGCTAAGAAATAGCATGTGTCCTTTTGAGGAAGCCAGGAGCAAAGGCTCCCCCATGGCTTCCATCCCAGGTGAGGAAGCAGGAGATCAAGCCAGAGGGGATGTGAAAGGGCAGGGCACGTGTGGTTACACAGATGATGAGGAAGCATCTGTGAAGTTACACATTTTTTGTGGAAAAAATATTACACGTTTCACATCAATACTGAAAATTGATAGTATACTTTTGAACTCAGGATTATATGGTATGGATTTGAAAGGTGGCAACTCAGATCTCTATGCCTCAATACCCCTGTAAAATGGGAATAATAATACTTTTCAGAGTGCTTCAGGGCGATGCATCTTTGGAAACTCTTCACAGATACAATACTGTGAAAGCTCTTAAGAGGAATTCTGTGGATGGATTTCTAAGCAGGCAGCTGGAGAGACTGATAGGAAAGCCAACTTCACTATTCGTTGTAATAAACCCTCATTCACAATATTCTCCAAGGAAAAGGAATATATTTATAGCGGAATTATTTCTCACAGAATAGCAATCTTATACGCAATAAGAGCTACAGAACTACATCAGAGGATGTAAAGAGAAATTTAGCGGGAACACAACTTCATTGTGTACTTACTGGAGATGGTCTCAAACAGCAACACTTGGAGGTGGGATTTTGAAGTCCCAAATGGTTCAGCTCTGGATTCTGTATCTATCTTATTTCTATAACTCAATTCTCAATCTGGATAAATGAATGCAACTTCTCTGACACAGATGTAGTTTTATCCACTTGCAGCATATGAGATTATGCACACCAAATAGTTATCCTTTATTTTTGTGATTTCACTGTCACTACAGAACTGATTTCACCCATTACGCTTTTTTGAATTATTCACATCTGATATTAGCTACGTTCCAGTGAAGTTAGTCCCAAGCTGAACATTTTCAAATTGCACTATTCCTATAGATGATTTCATCTGTATTTCCTTAAAACATTTTTAGTGTCACAACCTTACCTGAGTGACTGAAACAAGATTTTCATCAATGTCCAGCAATAAGTTTCCATTCTGCAGCTGTAAAGCATGATTTATGAAATGAAATGAATGATTTATGAAAATGACATGAATTTCTGAGCATGAAAATGATAACCTACATAATTATTGACTTCACTATTGAAATGAAAACCCTTTCCCTCTTGCAGCGAGCACAGATATGAAATCATGCAGTCAAAACCAGTGAGTTGGAATGCTTCTGGGATGTGGGGCAAACATACACTTTATTTGTGCTAAATCTCGTATTCTGGTGTATAAGGCAATTCCATCGCTTCCAATAACTATTTATTTTCCCAAGTATTTATTAATTCAGCAATAAGCATACCCAGTGAGCTCTGATCCTGCTTATGCTAACGGAACTTTTCACTGGCTTGGTGAAAGAAAGGACTTAACATCCTCAGGGGAAAAAACCTGAATTTTGGACAACAAAATCTCTAAAAGCAAGTATTTGCAGAAAAACACAGCTTTCTCTTAACTAGGAGAACTATAACATCAATGTAAACATATTCAAGATGCGTATTTTCTTTCCATAGTAATTTTAAAAATAAATTACAGAAGTCAATTCAAGTTATATTTAAATCCACAGTTTGCATGTGTGTAAATATATGTGGGAGCATACTGCCCACACATGCATACGTACCTATCTCCACGTATATATTTAAACACAAATTATCACTTCAGTGCCCTCAGTATGCTCAATTTCAGATTACATTTATGGTAGTGTTGGAGACTTTATTTCTTAAGAAACAAACATAACAGCAAGTTACTGAAGATCAAATCTTAGATGACTGAGAAGCTTCATACAAGTTACCAGCCAGTAATCCCATGCTATCTTAAAACGAAGAAGTTTAAAAATCTCAGAAGCGGCCTATAATGCTTTTGTCCCTGCTTCATCTCATCACAGACCTGAAGGAAAAAAAAAATACTTGCAAAAAGCAAAGCTGAAGGAAGAAAATGCCATCATGCACAACGAGGAAAGGACCCAGTCTTGCACCTTCTTGGTGTTGACAGCGTGTTCTCCCAGTCCCAGGTAAGGAAAGTGTGAAAAAAGCTGTGTCCGGTTATTCAAAGAACTCCACACAGACCTTGAAAATACTCTTAAAATGAAACCAGCGGGGTTTACACCTTCACGAGGGACCAGTTTTGGCCAGCAGTTAATCACTTCCTGATCTGACAGCCCCCTTATTTAACCCCCCATCCTCCAGCATCCAGGGATGCAGCTTGCGTCGCTCTGAAATGGATCCTGCCCCCAGCCACACCGACTGCTTTGTGAAACCAGCTGAGAAATAACTACGTCTCAGCACAGAGGAAACATGTGCGCGGCGTTCAACGGACCATTAGAAATTCCCACGTGTGCTACAGCGGGACCTTGCAGAAAACATTTGCCCAACATGTCACGGCACATCCCCAAGTGCCCAATTATCATGTAACACTTGAGCTGCATCTTCCATCAGCTCGTGTTCTGCATCACACACTGGTGAGGAGACGCTTCCTAAGGGTGCAATATCCCTGTCTATTAGAGCACAGAACAGCCTGCAACGGCAGCCGTGCCGAGGCTGCAACACGGCTACCGAGGGCAGAATTCGGCCCTTCAAGCCTTCCTGCTTTTGATACAAAGAGCTTAACCTTTGCAATTAAAGTCAACAATCCCCTCCCTCCTTCCCCAGTGCACGACAGAAAACAACCAGAAGCCTAGAAAGATGCTCCAGTCCTTGATCTTCCTCTAGGACTGCTGTCTGTGGATTTCTCCACAGAGTGATGCAAAAGCTTGCTTTAATTATTCAAAAATGCATCTCCTTGAATATGAAAACACCCCCACAGCTTAGTCAACCAGGAACACACCAGTCACTTGCAACCAGCCGCACAGACCGAGGCGGAGGAAAGAGTATTAATTCTTGTATCGCGGTGACATTAAACCTATAATGAAAGCTCCATCTTTCTATACAGGCATGTGAGACATACTGTAAATCTTTTAAACATGAAATATGCAAATCTGGCTTCTTAAAGCAACAGCAAGCTTTTTAAACCACTCCAGCCAGTAACAAAACTCCTCATGACACTTTTCACTGTTCACTAAAGGAAAACATAATTCTCCAGGAGCTGGAGAAAAATCAAGAGTACAGAAGCAATGATAAGAGATAAGTAAACTGCAGCTTTCATAAACTTGAATCGAAAACGATCCACCTCCACTACAGTATTCCCTCTGATCGCCAAGTACTCTGAAAAATATCTTTTCTAAGCAATGCAAAAGTTCAGGTTTTAAATGGGAAATCTGTAAGACAGGCCTCTTGGACTCATAAAAGTGTGAAGCACCTTACTTCTTTCATTTCTATAAATATTACAAGCCAGAGTACTCAAATTCTGTCACCCAGCCTGGTTTTACCAAAGGCAAGGGACGTACACCGATTCACAGCATGAGAAAACCTGCTTAATATTGCTATACTTTTGCAAACAAGATGATAAAAGTAGTGTCTTACAAAAAGCTGAAATCTCAGAGAATGAGCGAAGATGGTGCTTAAAAAGCATGAAAAAACCCACACAGTAATTAACTTGTACTCTGATACAGAGCTCAGCAAGTAAAAAAAGACTATGAAGGATACTAAATATAGCAAATAACCAGCAGTTAGTAATTAACCTTTGAGCTGGGCATTAGCTATTCAAATCTTTTAAGACAGCACAGGGATTTAAACTTGGTTTCCTGCATTCAGGGTAAGTGCTGTACCACTTGGCCCAGTAGATAAAAGAGGGATCATCCAACTGCGCTGCCCCTTTGTGTTTCCAATTCCCTTTTTTCTAGCATGTATTTTACACTGGAAGTCTAATGAGAAGTCAAACGGTTAGTCAAACTAAAGATTTTTGTTCTTATTTTGGTTGAAAATGTAAACATTTTGGCTACGTCAAATATTTTTTCTTAAGGTTCGAATAATTATTTTAGTTAGGCAAAGCTCCAGTTATTTGCACAACCTTATACAACAAGTGTTGATGTGACTATGAGCTCCAGGAGCTGCAAGCCAGCTTGCTTATTAACTGCAATCCAATCTAAAGAACAATTAGAACTGTAACAGAGGAGCGCCTCAGAATCGTGACTAAACCGACCATCAGTCAAAACCATGTCTAGCAGGTGGAGACACACTGAAAACATCCAACAGACACATTGTTTTCCTGTAAACCTACTGTTGGATTAATGAAGTAGCATGATAACTCAAGAAAGAATTGCTCAATTACTTCCTAATTAAAGAGAATACACAGAAGAATGTGTGTGTGAAGCAAAAACTGTCAATGCCTTTGCAATCTTCAAGCCTCCTACAGATCCTAAGGATCCTCAAATGCTGTAATCTTTCCCAGTTACAGAGGTAATGGCAGCCACAATGTTACCATCAACCTGGATTTAAACAGGTATAGCGGAGCACCACCTTTTAGTTGTAAGGCTGCTGTGAATGTTTAGGGTGATTCCTAACAGGTACAGGTCACATCAGCAACATGGGCTGCCATAAAACCACACTGCTTTTTATCCAAAATAAATGCGTCTGGGCATCCGTCACACACCTAGGACTCAAACCCAGTGCTCAGAATCCCGTGGGACATGGGAGCCCTCCTGTTTAAAGTTTCTCTTTTCAGTTTCATAGGGTAACTCTAACTTGTCAGGAACTCTCTTCTTCAGGTAATTCTTCTCCTCTGTATGTTTATTTGAAGTAATAAACCCAAGTACTGACTTCGGTATGATGTACCCAACTACAGGGTAGCCTTGAGCTGCTTCGTATTCACCAGCTGTCCAGTTTCCTTTGTTTGTTCACTGGGAAGCACTGGATATGCTGGTTAAAAATGCTGTTAGCCAACCCTGCGCAGCTAAAGAGGTGGGATGGTTAAGAATAATTGACATAATAGATTATGGAGGAGTGTTTGAGTGAATTGCTTCACTGTTGGCTTGATAACTTCCTTTAAATTAAGGATCTCTTCGTATGATCAAAACATCTGCTTATTCATTTATTTATTTTCTCTTCATTTGAAGGGAACTTCATTCTGAATTCCCTGTGTACTTTAGGTATTTACTCTTACAGGAAATGGTACTTAAAATGCTCCAATTACCACTTTTCTCCGACAGACTCTAACCAATCCAGAGTCCAAAAGAGTGACTCTAGCTTACAGCCAGACCCATGCTGCTTCCAGGCAACACAACACCCAGGATAATTAAACTGCCCAGAGCACAGAGGATGCTGGTGCAAAGGTCCCAGCCACACAGTCACCTCCTTCATATCTTCTCCAGACCCCATGTGGTGGGTTCAGGGAGCATGATATACACCATGGTATATGCTGGTCACACTACAGGTATTTACAAGAAATGCTGCACCTTCAGAAATATCACTATGTTGCTGCGCTAAACACTGAGGCTTTCAAAATGTTGACACAAACTACGAAAAATGTTGTAATTTACATTTACTGTGCACTAACAGGCCCTGACATCTGTCTTCTAGAAACATAAGCCTGACTTTAAATTTAGGTACCTTTACAAATATGTGCAATTTATTGCAAGAGGCTGATGCAATGCAAAGATATTAAAATGAAACATATTTTTCCATTGAACAGAAAACTGGAAACAAAGGGGAAGAGCAAAAAATTTCAGCTGATACAGTGGCAAAAGCCAACCTGCACCAAATTTCATTTCAGCATGGGGAAGGGGTATCGCAGCAGGAAAATCATGGGCCGAGGACAAGCTGCTGGCTGGTTCAATGTCAGCGCCAGCCTCAGCCAGGCTTCCATCCAGACTTATTGCCAGACACATCCATTGGCATCAGTGGCATTTCTTGCCTGAAGATCTATTTCTGAAAGTAATGCATCTTTTGTTCCCAGTGTGGAACTCTACCAGTTCTCCCTGGGGAAAATGGGAACGAGGCACAGGACATGCTAAGAGCTCAGATGGGGAAAGATGAACTCTTTAATGTCAGGGGCCTATGGCACCGCTCGGGTGGCACAATGCAGCCAGCCTTGGCGACACGTGATGGCTTTCTTTAACTGCAGACTGG